GTGTGTGCGTGTGTGTATGTGTGTGTGTGAGCGTGTATGGAGGGTCAGTTAATGCAATCCAACAAAGTCTTTAAATACAACTCTTCTCTGTTCCTATATTTTTTTTTTTTTGGGGGGGGGGGGGTCTTCTTGCGCCATTGCCCAAATATATTGAGGGCACGGTAATTTTAGTAGAAAATCATCAAGAAAAAAGTGTCTTTGAATCTACTGACTTAAACAAATGTTTTCTTTCTTTCTCGCGGAAAATTGATTGATTATAGTCGTTGCTTACAAACATGCCATCTACTTACAAGATAAATAATAATAATAATAATAATAATAATAATAATAACAATAAGTTATGAAAACAATTCTTTATTGTCATTAGGAATAAACTAACAGACATAGGTTAAATAGACACAGCTCATATATATATATGGTTAGGTTAGTTGCGTATCCCTTACAGGACGTTGCAGAACCAACCCCAAGAGCACCTGGCTGTTGTGTAGTTTTTCTAGGCAATTTACGTCCAGTAGTTGGCCATTGCTTTCTGGACGGTTGTCTTTCTTGATACCACTGTCGAAACCAACGAAAGGCGCATGGCCCGCAGCTGGGATCCAACCCGGCATCCCGGCATTACGAAGCGTTCGTATCGACTTAGCCACAGAGCCGACATAAATATATATATGTGGGTATATATATATATATATGTATATTCAGTATACATACAGCGTACAAGATACATGCAGATAAACTCAGTAAATGTGTAAAATAAAGGCATCTTATCGCGTCCTTAGCGCCCCAGACATAAAGTGCTCAACCATTTTTCTATGAACTAATCAGCACTGACTAGGTTATATGCTCAACATCATGCCGGCTGTCTTTACCTCCCAAGACATTTCCTTGTAGTCAGTGTAAGCTAGTATAGCCGTATAGGGCATATAGGGCTAGACCTATATTTTTATAGACCAATCGGCACAAGATGACTGATGTGGTCAACATCCCTCCGGCCACCTCTACTTCCCGGGACCCACTCAAGGCTGGGTGGATCTGAGAGCCAAGGTCATTTTGGAAAAAAGTCCGGCTTCGCCAGGGAGCGCACCCACGACCTTCCGATCCGCGGTCTGCGTCTAGCCTCTCCGCCACGGGGACCCCCATTTTAAGCTAGGTCGGCATGAAAAATTACAATAGAAACCTGACAATCTGACATCAGCTTACACATCTGGGACTGAAGAGTCAACAGCGCTGTACTAAGTGTAGCCTTTACGCATGCGGATGCCCTAATCCTAGCCCAATATGAAATTGAACCGGTTATATGGATTATGAGACTAAACTTGAATTTGCTCTGCTAGAGGGGCATCCGGGATGTGCATGGAACCACACCAAGTTGCAGCCCTAAGACAACAATCAGTCAGTCATACATATAAATTCATCACTGTTACACCTCTACAAAATATATTTTCTGTAAGATTCATCTTCTTTATCTTCTGCCTTTCCTACTAAGAGGGCAAATGAGACGTTTGTTTGTGGCTTTCAGCTTGACTTCGACAGCTGCGCTATTAAATCCAACTCAGATATTCATCAAACTCCTAAATTGTCCTATTTTACGACACACTTGTTAAAAGCTGTTGGTACATTCTTTTTCCTCTCAAAATAAGGTCAAAGTACCCATTTGTAAGTAAAATACTTAATTGTGTGATCTTTCCCACCCGTTTTGAAGAGGTATTGCCAGTCACCCTAATCCATTTGTCTCTGTTAAGTAATTGTCAAATATGTTGACATTTCTATGTAGACCCTATTGCCCCAATCTTGTTTCCACTGGTAAATTTCATATAATTTATCATCACTTTGTTACATGTATAATTTTCAACAAAAATACACAATTAAAAAAAAAATTATTCATTATTATTGACGATATTGTTTCGTCGTTTTTAGGATAAAATTTTTTGTTTTTTGAAGCCTCACCCTGGCTTTTGCCAAGGGCCGCAATATAGGCAGGCCATAAATATGGCCAATTGTCTGAACGCAGTTTCTGGGACCTCTCCACGGCGATCCTAATCCACATGGTGGCACTTTGTGCCATCGGGTGTTTGTCGCTTGTGTGATGTCCTGGTGGGGTAGAAAGTCAGTCAGTCAGTCAAATATTGTTGACATTAGTTCAAACTACAGGGCATCGGCAAAGCTGCTGTGCACTAGGCATGCACACTTTTTCAAGACACAACACACAAAGCTTGAATAAACTGGCTACACAGTGACTTCTTTGCGGGAGGGGGGGGGGGAGTAATGGAAAAAAGGGAAGGGGGCAGAAAAAAAATTATTGTGTGGTGTCAAGAAAATGAATGTGTGAGTGTGTGTGTGTTTGTGTGTATGTGCGTGTGTGTGTGTATGTGTTTGTGTGTATGTGCGTGTGTGTGTGTGCAATGTGGATCGACTTTTTGTGCATGTTAATGTCAGCCCACTCCCATTCCCTTGCCCCCCCCCCCCCACATCCCCCTTAACCCCCCCCCCCCCCCGAACAGTGAAGTAAAGGACACAAAAAGTTTTTCACTGACAACATCAGAGACAAAACAAACTAATTATGTGACCATTATTTGAATAAAAATGTGAACATTCTGAAAAAGAATAAGAGACAAAAATAATCGATGTTCGGGCTCTCCTTTCACTGCAGACCCGTAGCTGGAGAGCCGCCGATCGGCTTAGTGGAAATTCTCTCCCTTGGCTGCATTGCAAACGCGGAGCGGACAAGTCACGAATTAAAAAACAACAGTGAAGTCGACAACAGGGCTGTCAATGCTTGGGTGTTTCCCCCAGATCTGGGTGTTTATTTGACGCTTCGGGGAAGTCTTGTTTTTTTTAAAAGTAAATATATCCTTACATAAAAGTTGTATTAGTTGCCACGGATGTGACTCCTGCAGATCTGTATGACTTAATGACCGATACATTTGCGTGATTAGGGGTAGGGTTAGGGTTAGGGTTAGATGTGACAATTTTGACGCAGGAGTTCCAAATAATCGCGCATAGTCACATACACACCCAAACAATCGAAGGACTGTGGATGCTACTCAAACGGACTATTCGCCACCGATTGGGCACCAGCAGCGCGCTATTGCCGTCATATTTGGGAGAATTCCTGTTGCGCCACTCTCACAAGCATTAGATTGTCGGCCATTATTTGGAACTCCTACGTCAAAATTTTCACATCTAACCCTACCCCTAACCGTAACCCTAACTAACCCTAACCCTAACTAACCCTAACCCTAACCCTAACCCCAACCCTAACTAACCCTAACCCTAACCCCAACCCTAACTAACCCTAACCCTAACCCAACCCCTAACGCCGCTAACCCTATCCCTAACCCTAACCCAAACACTACACCCTACGCCACCGTATGATTACTACGCAAACGTACACGCAACCGTATGATGATAGGTAAGTTTGTCATTTGATTCGTGACTTGTCCGCTCCGTGTTTGCAATGCAGCCAAGGGAGAGAACTACCACTAAGCCGATAGGCGGCTTTCCAGCTACCGGCCTGCAGTGAAAGAAGAGCCGATGTTCGTATTATCAGTCGTCCCCATGTGGGATGCAATTTTTCGTTATTTGAAGCCCCACCCTGGCGCCCCGAATATATAATGGTCTAAATATGGTCTAACGGCTGAAAGGGGTTTCTGGGATTTTTCAAGGGGTACAACAAGACAGAGAGAGAGAGAGAGAGAGAGAGAGAGAGAGAGAGAGAGAGAGAGAGAGAGAGAGAAAGGAGAGAGAGAGAGAGAGGGAGCTTCCTGTTAACAATAATGAGATGGGAGGGGTTATGTGTTTGTCATTTTCTGGTTTCTCTTTGAAAAAAAGTTTTGTGTGTGTGTGTCTGAATACACTTTTGAAAACTAGAAAAATACAGCAGAGATCTAAGAGAACGCAAGAACAAATGATTTTTTGACAGTTTCATTTTTATGTGCTTGAAATATATCAGCACAAGTGTGCATGTTGGTGGTTTAGGTGATCGGCAGTTGTAGAAGTATAATCGTCAACGCCTGTTGAGAAGGCACATGATGATTTCACATATGTTTCACGCAGCCGTCCCATTGTAGTAGGATGGAATTTTTGGTTATTTTAAAGCCCCCACCATGGTTGTTGCCGGGGACCTTAATATATAACCTAGCGGTTAAACGGGGTTTCCGGGATCTCTCCACGGTGATCCTCATCCGCGTGGTGGCACTTTATGTCTTTAATCGCTCTGTGTGATGTTCTGGTGAGGTAAAACTTATTTACCTGATGATGATGTTTATCTCGGCAATCCAAAACAAGCTGTCCTTTGAAGTACCTGATGTTGTTTACCTTTCTTTAGTTTTTACGCTTGATCTATTTGGTATTAACAATAATAACTCCATTTAGTTCTGTTTCATCACTCTACACTGAGACACCGAAACCCGGGGGTGGGAGCTTGAGCCTCTTTAGCACTCTTACCCAATTTTTGAGAGGGAGCTGAGCTTCCACCGCCTCCTTCACCCTCACTTGTCCTCCTCTGTAACTTTTAAGACGTCAGAGCTCTGTTACTTACCCCCCCCCCCCCCCCCCACACCCTTCTCACATTTCTCCCCTTTCTCTTTCCCTTCCTCATTAAGAACACTTGCATGGGGCAAGAGTTGTTTCAGTGAGCAGGTATAGGCGTCCTATTGTCAAGTTTTTATTTATACAGTTGTATTTTGCTTGAAATATATTATTATATTTATTAACCATTCACAAACAACAATAATGCTAACAATAATATTAAACTGGTTATTACTGGTCACTTGAAACCAAGCATAGGCGTTTTTATTGCCCCACCCTTTAGAAAATTATACAATTTTGAGGCTTCTCCTTCATGTTTCTCTGTGTAGACGCTCCTGCCTCTACGTGGTTGTTTACTGTCCTTAACAAATGTGTCTCTTTTAACAAGAGATGTTTCTTTGCGCCTTTGACTAGTTTTCCTGGTTCAGCGAGCACAACATGACCTTCCTGACATCTCTAGTTGTCTCTGAACATCAGTTATAAAATTTGCCCTCGGTTACTTTCGGTCGTGGAATGTAGCCCAACCTGTCATAGAATGTGCAAAACAAGAAAAACATTAGTTATTATTCATAAACTCAGCAACTTCTGACCGGCGTTTATTTTACCTGTATAAGAAATAAAATGAGTAGATAAGATCTAAACAAATTTTTGCTTTGTTGCATCTACTATGCTGTCGTAGATAAGTTTTGATTGACATCAATTGTCTCGTACGAGATAAAATCTTACAATTCACATGTTTAGTGTTTAATACCTGGTTGTAGCATCACATGTCTAGTCACAAATAAGTACTGAAAATAGCCAGAAAAGGTTTTTGAAACATTTCATGTTTGTGAGAAAACACCTTATCATTTTTATTACATCTCATTTTTGTGAAAAAACACCTTATCGAAGTGTGCAGAAGTTTATATAAGGAATGTAGAAGTGTAGTTATAATAAGTCAGTGGTGCAGAAGTTTATACAAGGATTGTAAAGGTGTGGTTTGAATAAATCAGCGGACATATAATCCATTTACATTAATATCAGGAGTAAGACAAGATTATGTCTTTCACCACTGCTTAATACCTTCATCAATAGTATATGTAAAGTGACAAGCCAAGGAACGAAAATGTTAATAAGAAAAACGATATACTTTTTGCTATGGGTCAGGCTTTGATGACACATTCAGCAATGTAATCACAACAGTATCTAATATATATGAATGAAAAATGTTAAAATAAAAATAATATGAGAATCAACAATGAAAAGACAAAAGTAACGTCAATAAAAAGAAATAAAAGGAAACTAAATATAGCAGTAGAGTTCAAAGGCATTAGACAGGCATCTGAGTTTAAATATCTTGGACATCATCACCGAAGATGGGAAATTTGATTAAGAAATTAACATCAGATGCAGTAAAGCAAAGGAACTATTGGAAGAGCATAAGTCGGAACAACGCAATAATGCTCATTAGGGTAGATACACTAGACCAACCAAATCAGTTGTCTTTGAAAGATCAAATAAAAGCAGTATACATAGTTCATTTTGTTGACGGCATTTTTCATTCAACTGTCGTAATGAAAATATCATATCAGTGGTTGCTACGAAAGCCACACTGCCTCTCTGGGTAAACGTGGTCTCCTAGGATCTGTAGTCTTTGCAGAACAATTTTCGCAAGCACTTTTCCAACAATAAACAACAGTGATATCACCCGTAATAATGGCAGTTAAAATATGGCCACCTATTTTTTTTTCTATGGGCAAGACCCCTAGTAAATTTCTGAGGTCATCAAGGGTCAAGTCCTAGACAAATGCTGATCACATCAGTTGTGTAGAAACATGTGGCCAGAACAAAAACGCAGCATACCTTTACATAAATTGTTATGTGAGAGTGAGATAAAGATCTCAAACATGAAGATCCTATTTCTCGCTGATACAGCGAATTATAGGTGAACCAATCAGAAAGCCACACAAGGGACTCATTCTCACCATACCAATCAATTAGAACAAAATTTTTACTTTTTAAAATTTGTTTCACACCTTTCTCATCCAATTAGCTAGTTATCACCAAGTTTTTAAGTATTTTCCTTCTCACAGCATGTCCAGAAAATAAAACCATAACTACCTGGGTCTAATTTCGCTCACCTTAACAATTTTCAGTAGTCTATTGTAGGGCTGTCTTATGTATTTTTCTGTCAGCTTAGTATAATACCAGAACACAGGTAATGAAGAGCTTCATGTACGGAACTATAAAAAAAAAAAGATCATTGAATTGGTCTTACCATGGCTTGTCTAAAGTCCCTGTACTGATGTAGCCATCATACTTTCCATCGTTTATACTGAAATTGACATGTAGGAGATGGTATATTTTAGTTTGTAACAGAAATCTTTTCATCATTTACACACACATACAAAGTTACACACCACTGGGCGATTATCAACACATATTTCAGTCACTGGACTGGTAGTAAATATTTCTGATAATTCCATTTCATAGTTTAAATTACCATGGTAATGGTATACTTTTGTTTGTTTTTCAGACGAAAGTATTATGTTATGCTATATGAAGGTTCGGGAAAATTAGCATACAGCCGATTATGACCAGGGATGAAATCCTTCATCTCCTTGGTAATCTTGGTAATCTTAGTTTCAGCTTCATAGCAAACGGGTCACCCCATAGTTGCTCCGCTCCTGTGCCAACGAAAAACACACAGAATGCTCGTCACAATCCCTTGTGGAAAAATCGACAGACTGCTGTATCAGCAAATGCACTAGCATACACACACATTAAAAGCATACGGTAATCATCAGAAACAGTTTGACATTAGAAATACAGTTCATTATCGACGGTAGCATAAGTTACCAACAGATCAGCAGCCTATTCCTACTACTCTTCCTCCTACCACTACTCCTCGTCTTCGTACTATTTTTTTTTAAAAACTAACCCTCCCATCTCCTCCCACTACTACCCCTACACTGCTTTCCTACTATTACTCCTCTTCCTACTCCTGTTGCCTACTACTACTGCTGCTGCTACTCCTCCCTACTACTGCTTATTACAACTACTACTAATTACTACTTCGGCTACTAATTTTTTGGGATAAAAACTGTTATTATTCATAGCTTTGAAAGTGTACAGTTCGTCTCAGATCTTTCTTTATCACAAAACACTCTTCTGTTCTTGGTATACGTATTTACAATTCTATTTTACTGCCAGACATGGTAATAATAAGCATGACAAACTATTCTGGTACTTGTGACGATCTGGTCTGGACAGCTGTTTCTGTCCTTTAAAAGATTGCTTTGTTTAGATAATATTATTATCAAAGTTCTAAACATTTTTCCTATTGGCTTTTAATTAAGCATAATAACACTGGATTAATTAAGAAATTCCTTACTTTTTCTTAATGCTTTATTGTAGCAAAATTATAATTAAAGAGTTGAAAGGTAATATAGGCGAAGAGTAGTGCAAGATGGGGACTGAAGAGTTACTTCCTCCTGACTTCCTGTTTCCCTTTTCAATTCAGAAATTGACCGGTTCAGACCTAAAGTTTGTTAGTCTTTGCTTGGGTCCGAATTTTCTGTTTGAATTCCCTGCCAGGGTGTTGTGAGTTAAAAGAAAAATAAGTTTAATTAGATTATATTTGCTGCTTATTCTTCTGAATTAATTTTATCTGCTGAATTATGAAATTTAATGCCCACATGGCTCAAAAAAAAAAAAATAATACTATGATAAATTTCTTTATCCTCACTAACCACGTTTTATGATCTAGTATGTACATGTATGCAAACATATTATCCATTTGATGATTGAATTAATGTTCATTTTGCTACTAGAAAACGTGCATTGGTATTTTCAATTATTATACTTATATTAATTAAGTGATAATTAACTGGTTTAAGAGCTTGAAAAGTGAATAACACAGTGAGGCTGAATTTAATATGCACACTGTCAGAGAAGAAGAAGCAGAGAAGAGATGTATGGCCCATGCTTGTAATTATTATTGTTGTAAATATATTTCCCTATTACTAGGAATACATTTCAGTTCTACAGCAGGTGGCCTTACAATTGTAATAATTATATTTCAACCTTTACAACTTCTAAACTCTACTGACTAAGATGTTATCACACAAGTGGATTTAGATTTAAACTGGAGTGAGTGTTGTAAATTTTATGTTAATACTGTGACAGATGGAAAGCCCATTGTCATCTATGATTGTATTTTGACATCTATCTCATCACCCAGTATATTGATGGAGATATGTCAATCCCATTTGTTTTCAAACAGTGCAAAGCACCTGTTATGAGTTCCTGGTCTTGGTAAACTCACTCCCTGTTTCTCATTCTTTGAGATGTGAACCCATGTGGTTAAAATGAGAATATTGTGAAATATGACTGTGTATGTCTGTGTGTGTAAGCATGTTAACCCTTTAAAGGAGTACTAGTGTGCAGACATCAGAACAATTTACACTGAGGAATGTCCTTTCTTTTTGTGTGCTGTAAACTCTTGTTCTTGAGAGTATTCATGAAACTGGTTTCCTAAATATTTCCTCATCAGGATTATGGACCCTGTTCTGTACACATTCCCATTCTATACCAGTAGAATGTGAACACCTGTTACTACCCCACTCCATATATATATATGTGTAGTGTAACAGTTTAAAGACTGGAGGTATTGTTGTCTCCAGTTAGAACCTTCCTGACTGTTTGTATAAGGACTGTTCTATTGTTCTAGTTCCAGATTGTATTCCAGATGGTAGTCCAGAAGTAGATCCTAAGCTTAGCTGCAGATACCCGATTGTCCGGACTGGACTGGAAGATTCGGCCTGCCTGATGTGTTTCCGAAGCTTAGTCAGAAGCTGACATAAGCTACAGCTAAGTGGACAGTTGACCACTTACCTTATATAACAGGATAATTTTATCCACAGCCTTTTATTTAATTATCATTTGAATTTTCAAAATAAATGTAGTTTTAATGTTCTTACAGTTTTCTGAAGTTTCATTTTAACTGTAATTGTGTCAGTGAACAAAAGCTAGTATAACTTTAATACATTTAAATATTCAAATTTAATAACAGTAGGGAATAGATGTGGGCAAACCCAGAATCCTCTCATTTAACCAGCAAGGCTGGGGTTACTATAAGACCGTATGATGTTTCACTGTTTGTAGTTCCCTCTGTAAAGTGCACATAGTGCATTCGCTAGTGTAAAGCGAAGTTACCCGCCACAGATTGGGGATCTCGTCCCGGCATAGAACCCACTCACAGAGTGGATTCTCGTCTCGGAACTTGTCACCTCACTCACAAAGTGAGATCTTGTCTCGGGGTTTGTAACCTCACACACAAAGTGAGATATTGTTCCTGGTTTTTCCCTAGACAACAGCATATTTTTTTTATATTTTGTGTTCAAGTGTTTAGCCATCTTTGATTTATTTTATGGCATATACTTAAAGGACACTGGGGGCTCAGAGTCATTAGTTACTAGTTTGCCTGTAAAAGTTAGCAAAAATTAACTTGGGTAATTATGTAACTGAAATTTACAAATAGTTTAAATGTTCACTGACTTTAGGAAATCAAAATATATAATTGGCTAGGACAATTTTAATTCCCAAATTAATGGTTGCCCATAAGGTTAAGGATTTGTTAAAATGGATTGACAATTGCATTGCTATTTTTTTGATTCTGTGATTGATTATTTGATTGATGCATATGTGATTTGCTTACTAACCCACTGTTGACCTAATTTTCTGAGTCTTGTCTAGTACTCTATAATTTCAGCAGCAATCATAGGTGATAATTTGCAAACTTCTTGTAAGGGTCACTACAGCTTAACCGAGATGGCAGCAAATAATTATCTATTGGGCAAGACCATCTCAGACTTTGCTGCTCATGAGGCAGGTTTGAGTGGGATTGAGCTAGATATGTATGTCTCTGATTTGTTGAATGCCAAATCTCAACTAGAAGCTAATGTAGGTGTCCAAGGGAGGGAAGTAGATTCTATAGATTGGTTTTTTAGAAGTATAGAAATGGGTCAGGCTTGCAAATTCACAGGTATTAAACTTCTAGAGTGTGTTGCAGAGAAGGTTAAGGAAGATTGGGAGTGGCAACTGGAATGTGTCCAAATGGAACAGCAGGCACAATCTAAAGGTTTCAACAAAGCGGTTGAACATGCTCAGTGGAACCAGAAAGCTTTTGCTGGTGAGCCTTCCCGAGAATTATGGATGTTCACAACCAAAAAGCCAGACACTTCCATGTCAGCCATAAATGCATTTCCAAATACTAGTATCAGTCACTTAGGATCAGTAATTGAAGAAAGAACCCTTACCCCACCAGAATCTGGAAGTGAAAACCCTGGTAGAGAATGTGAGATCCTTGGCAGCTGTCAAGAGATCAAAACTAGTGAGCCTGCGGCTGCAGTGACCACTAGTGGGCTAGCTACCAAAAAACTTGAGTTAACTCAGGGTGGTGATTTCTGTCAAGATGGTCATTCCTTGGCAGAAATAAAAAGTGTTATTCCCAAAACCAACCCCATTTTAGATAAAATTATTGTATCTAGAAGCTTGCACAGCAAGGAAACTTTGAAGAAGGTAGGTGGCGAGACAGAAGACTTCAGCTCCACGCTGCAGATAGTATCTTGTAAAGTGGAGTCTGTTTATGTCCATGCTCCCACTACTTATTCTCACACGCAGTCAGTAGAAAGTCATGTGCTAGTTAAAGACATAGATTTTTCCAGTAAGTCGAGTGATATCCTAGAGTTTACTGAGAGAAGCAAAAATGCATCTCAGTCCTGCTTACAAGTTAGGGAAAAAGAGTCTCAGGCCTTAGATAAGTCCTTGAGGTCTCAAGGTATGTTGTTGTGTCCCCTCAGAACCAAGGACAAGCACAACTTTGACAACCCGACGACTGCAAATAAGCAGGTCATGAGAGACCAAAAGTCTCGCATCTTGGTCCAATCCAAGATGAGCCAACCAAAGCATTTGTGGACACCTCTTCTGAAAAGAGTTGTGTGTTTCACCAAGACTAGACCGATAGCTAGGCAGACTGCTAAAAAGCTAACTAGGTCTACTGAGAACCCCTTAAAGAGTAAACTCCTTAAGCTCAGGTCTTTTGCCAGTTTAGTTAGGACCATTAATGATCCCAATCCTAAACCTGGTAAGGCTTATGCCAAATCCTCTGCAACCCGGCCAGAAACTTCAGTCTGTGCCAGTGCAGCCAAAAGTAGGAAGAACCCTTCCTTTACTTCATCTTCAGATGAAACCCACAAGACCCAGTCTACGGTTGAGTCTGCAGGTTCTGTACACTGTCGTAAGCAGAGCTCACCTTTTCTTCTATGTAAATCTTCCCAGATGGTTTCATGGAGAAGGCGCACTCAGACAGGTATCGTAAACATTGAACTGATCTTTCCCTCATGCCATCTTTTCTTTGTTAAGATTTTTTCTATTCAGAGAAGCGGACAGTCCGCCTTGATTTTCTCTGGGAAAAGACTTTGGTATGTTAGTCGCAGTCGGTCATATCCGCTGGGACGGGGCTACAAATCCCAGTCAGTTGTTAAGGAGAAATTTTTTCTTCCTATTGAGATCCCATAGCAGATTAATTAGGGGATAATTTAGCAGGTGGATTGTAGGTAGCAGAAACAGTATCCAGGCCAGTTTAAGTTTGATATGTAAATATCAAACTTATCTTCGTTGGGCATATGTGACGAGCTGGTCTGGACAGCTGTTTCTGTCCTTTTAAAGATTGCTTTGTTTAGATAATATTATTATCAAAGTTCTAAACATTTTCCTATTGCTTTTAATTAGCATAATAACACTGGATTAATTAAGAAATTTCCTTAACTTTTTCTTAATGCTTTATTGTAGCAAAATTATAATTAAAGAGTTGAAAGGTAATATAGGCGAAGAGTAGTGCAAGGGGGACTGAAGAGTTACTTCCTCCTGACTTCCTGTTCCCTTTTCAATTCAGAAATTGACCGGTTCAGACCTAAAGTTGTTAGTCTGCCTGGGGTCCAATTTTCTGTTTGAATTCCCTGCCAGGGGTGAGTTAAAAGAATAAGTTTAATTAGATATATTGCTGCTTATTCTTCTGAATTAATTTTATCTGCTGAATTATGAAATTTAATGCCCACATGGCTCAAAAACTATGATAAATTTCTTTATCCTCACTAACCACGTTTATGATCTAGTATGTACATGTATGCAAACATATTATCCATTTGATGATTGAATTAATGTTCATTTGCTACTAGAAACGTGCATTGGTATTTTCAATTATTATACTTATATTAATTAAGTGATAATTATGTCCTCATGTGAAATCTCGGCCAGTTCCGGTTTCCAGCATGGTGGGACAATTAAAAAGGAATGAAGTGTATATTCATTATACCTAATCCCTTCTAAGTTGATTTTACCTCATGGTGATATTAGCTTGATAAATTACTGTCTTGCTTTAATTTAGATTTAGTCCAGATAATTCTGAGACTGGTTTAAGAGCTTGAAAAGTGAATAACACAGTGAGGCTGAATTTAATATTCACACTGTCAGAGAAGAAGAAGCAGAGAAGAGATGTATGGCCCATGCTTGTAATTATTATTGTTGTAAATATATTTCCCTATTACTAGGAATACATTTCAGTTCTACAGCAGGTGGCCTTACAATTGTAATAATTATATTTCAACCTTTACAACTTCTAAACTCTACTGACTAAGATGTTATCACACAGGTGGATTTAGATTTAAACTGGAGTGAGTGTTGTATATTTTATGTTAATACTGTGACAGATGGAAAGCCCATTGTCATCTATGATTGTATTTTGACATCTATCTCATCACCCAGTATATTGATGGAGATATGTCAATCCCATTTGTTTTCAAACAGTGCAAAGCACCTGTTATGAGTTCCTGGTCTTGGTAAACTCACTCCCTGTTTCTCATTCTTTGAGATGTGAACCCATGTGGTTAAAATGAGAATATTGTGAAATATGACTGTGTATGTCTGTGTGTGTAAGCATGTTAACCCTTTAAAGGAGTACTAGTGTGCAGACATCAGAACAATTTACACTGAGGAATGTCCTTTCTTTTTGTGTGCTGTAAACTCTTGTTCTTGAGAGTATTCATGAAACTGGTTTCCTAAATATTTCCCCATCAGGATTATGGACCCTGTTCTGTACACATTCCCATTCTATACCAGTAGGATGTGAACACCTGTTACTATCCTACTCCATATATATGTGTGTAGTGTAACAGTTTAAAGACTGGAGGTATTGTTGTCTCCAGTTAGAACCTTCCTGACTGTTTGTATAAGGACTGTTCTATTGTTCTAGTTCCAGATTGTATTCCAGATGGTAGTCCAGAAGTAGACCCTAAGCTTAGCTGCAGATACCCGATTGTCCGGACTGGACTGGAAGATTCGGCCTGCCTGATGTGTTTCCGAAGCTTAGTCAGAAGCTGACATAAGCTACAGCTAAGTGGACAGTTGACCACTTACCTTATATAACAGGATAATTTTATCCACAGCCTTTTATTTAATTATCATTTGAATTTTCAAAATAAATGTAGTTTTAATGTTCTTACAGTTTTCTGAAGTTTCATTTTAACTGTAATTGTGTCAGTGAACAAAAGCTAGTATAACTTTAATACATTTAAATATTCAAATTTAATAACAGTAGGGAATAGATGTGGGCAAACCCAGAATCCTCTCATTTAACCAGCAAGGCTGGGGTTACTATAAGACCGTATGATGTTTCACTGTTTGTAGTTCCCTCTGTAAAGTGCACATAGTGCATTCGCTAGTGTAAAGCGAAGTTACCCGCCACAGCCTATTCCTACTACTCTTCCTCCTACCACTACTCCTCGTCTTCGTACTATTTTTTTTAAAAACTAACCCTCCCATCTCCTCCCACTACTACCCCTACTGCTATTCCTACTACTCCTCTTCCTACTCCTGCTGCTACTACTACTGCTGCTGCTACTCCTCCCCTACTACTGCTATTACAACTACTACTATTACTACTTCGGCTACTAATTTTTTGGGATAAAAACTGTTATTATTCATAGCTTTTGAAAGTGTACAGTTGGTCTCAGATCTTCTTTATCACAAAACACTCTTCTGTTCTTGGTATACGTATTTAAATTCTATTTTACTGCCAGACATGGTAATAATAAGCATGACAAACTATTCTGGTACTTTAAAAGGGGGAAAAAACAACAACAATACTGTGATGATAATAAAACAATAAATCACATCTTACTCTTGATATGCCAGATAGGTAATTGGATATGATTCTCTTTCTGGAAAAGGCCGCTCCTCACCGGTTCGTGGACTGGATTCGTGATAGCTTGAGTCGTAAATTCTGGGAAGAAATCAAGTAATATTTATGTTGGAACCGCGTGGAAGGGATTTAAAAAGCCATGCGATCAACAAAGTATACACCTTTTGCTAGCAAATATTAAAAACAAAAAATATTAGCCAGCGATTTGAAGTAAAACATTTTGGATCTAAAGAAAAAAAAAATGGAGGTGGGAAAAAAAAGGGGGGGGGGGGGGGGGCTGGATCGTCCTGGATTAAAACAGTCTGTTTTGTTTCTACTGCCTGTTTTATACTATTTGTTAAGGTCGCCTAGAATGAAAAAGAAGGGGGGGGGGGGAGGGGTAGACAGGGGGGGGTAGGCTGGGATTCTTGAGTCTAAGATTTATGCTCCCATGGCTAGTGCAGTCATCATGAAATATGCTGGTTACCGACTTGCTTGCTTGTTGTACCCCACCAGGACAGCTCACAAGCGATAAACACCCGGTGACACAAAGTGCCACCATGTGGATAAGGATCACCGTGACGAGGTCCCAGAAACCTATTTCAGCCGTTATGGAAACATTTGTGGCCCAACTATATTTAGGGCCCCTGGCAGCAGCCAGAGTGGGGCTACTATTTAACAAAAATTGCATTGCACGAGGGGACTACATGATAAACTGGTTATTCATTTATTTATTCCTTGTATGGTCACAGAGAGAAAAACATGTCCATTAACAAATCGAGTATTTGAATCCGGGTTTCTCCGACGTTCTAACCATTCGGCGAGCCGCTCCTAGCACTGACATTTAGGAGCCAACGTTTATCACGGGTGTATATAATCATAGCCATCCTCTTGTGGGATGCAATTTTTCCTTATTTTTAAGCCCCACCCTGGCTCTTGTCAAGGGCTGCAATATAGCCCGGCCATAAATATGGCCTAATGACTGAACGCGGTTTCCGGGACCTCTCCACGGGGAATCCTTATCCACATGGTGTCACGTTGTGTCATCGGGTGTTCTAGTGATGAAAAATGTACTACTACTACGGGTGTATGTTCTGGCCCTGACACAGAGCTCGAGAACAGTGCCCTGAACACCCCTGATCTTAGCCAAACACTCTTTATCTCTTCTGAAGCTACTCGTGCGCAGTGGGAAAAACAATTGGAGTGTTCACGAGCTTTTGTGTGTTTATAGACTCTTGTTACGTCTGTAGTTCGAAAAAATGGTAAGAATTACAATTCTAAATTTTACTTAGGGGGGGGGGGGATATTGAATAATTCATAAACAATGTTTTCATGTAGTGAATTTAAATAATGAGCACACCACAATAAATAGACTTAGTTATATGTCAAAGTAACTCTTCAGGCTGACTGGCTCTGCACAACTTAGTGGAATACTGATGCATGGTTGGTGCCTTATGGGAGAGCGTGTACAGTTAGGAGGAGCAGATGGATCACCACAGTCTGGTGAGATTGATGCGGTAGGGAGTGACGAGAGGTTCTGGCATATATTCAAGGCTCAGAGGAAATGCAAGACGGAAGTTTAATTAGAATGCTACTGGCACCATTAGTATCGGAACTCTTCACTGGTTGCTGAGGATGGGGACGGAGCGCTAATGGGAATGCCCCGAGTGCTGTGATGTCGGTTCTTGAAACAACTCTACTCAAAGTAACTTTGCAGTAATTCTAAATCTGACGAGATACAGCGAAACATTGTGAATCGTATTGTTTGTGGCTGTATTATACAAACTGATAGATTAAAGAGGCCTTACTTTTCGTCTTCTTCTTTCCGTTTCTTATAACAGCAAAAGTAAGCAATGCAAATGGCGATAGCGATGACAACAATGAATGATCCCGCAGCAACGGCTGTTCCAAATATGATTTTCTCCTGTGTAGTCAAATCCCAGGACCCTGATGAAGTAAGAGGAAAATCAAAATAAGGTACATGTAACGAACTCAGGCCCAGCTCTGCCTATCTACACACTTATGATTGGCCAGGACACTATGACTAAATGTTCAGTCTCCGTCTTAACCTGTGAGACGCGCAAATGTAAATGGCAGGGATGTCAGATTGGTCGACTCTCCTACCGGCAACAGCGCGTGCTCTATATTACAGGATGTGAGCGCCTTTAACGACACCATAACATGTGCAAATGGCTCTAACACCCCCCCCCCCGCTTCACATACACTGAACATAGGTCCAATAAGAGAGTGCAGTCTACAGCAGTAGACCGAGACACCCCTGTAACCTTAAGCAACGTGGACCAGCCTGACCAAGCATCACTGAAATGTAACATAGTATGTAGATGGGTGGAGCTGGGCCTGAGTTCGTTGCAAGTTCCCAAATTAAATATAATTTACTGATCATGTTTTTAAGTGATCAGTTGTGATGCCAGCATCATGCATACGAATTACAGTTGTCCCGTTCTAGTACCAGAGTTAATCACCCGAATTCCTGACACTGACCCATGTAAAAGATCAAACAAATAACACATCCGGTAAAATCCACAACATGCACACGCATGAAATGTAGCCGACAGAGGTGCTAAACCGAAAAACCCAGCATTAGATTTGCACTTCACAGCTGATTAAAGTAGCATTCAAAACAAACCACAATAGGTTAATATGGTATAAGGCCAGCTCTATGACAACCTGCCACTCGCGATTTTCAGAACACGCAGCTCGCAACACAAATCTCTATGATCACAGACACACCAAATAAAAAATAAAATAAAAATAAAAACAATCTATTCCACCAAAGTCACAACTCATAGTGAGGGCCGCCTTAATAAATGGGTACGCTAAGCACTTTTCCTAGGACCCCGTGCTTATCTCTGTATGTAGAGTAAAAAAGTAAAGGACCCTTTTCCACACATTCGGACGTATTGGAAATACAAGGCTAGATCTATATTTTTGTTTGTTTTAGTATCCAGAAGCCATGAGTTTTTAACCCTTAGGCTCGGTATTATGTATATCGCAAACCTTTCGGCCTTGATTCCATTGTAAATACCGTAAATTTTGGAGAAATTTGGCTTTTCTGCCTACCCCATGGGAGTGAACCCGGACCCCAAGGAGTTCGTCACCCGCTCACCGCGCAATCCGGTTTAGCAAACTACGCTAGAGAGCCGGGTAATCTATATTTTTAAAAACCAATCGGCAATTGGTGGGTGATGTAGTCAGCATCACGACGGTCGCATTTACTTCCCAGGGCTGCACCTAGTACCCACGCAAGGCTGGGTCGACCTAGGAGTCAAGGTCATATTTGAAAAAAAAGTCTGGCTCCCTCAGGACGCGAACCCACGACCTTCCCATCCGCAGGCGGGCGTCTAGCCGCCAATCTTATGGCGACTCCCTGTAGGTTAAGTGACTTGCCATAAATACAAATTTCATTCACGTAATTGGTTGTTGTAGGAGCTCTTTCAGTGTACTATATAATATTGTCTTCATTTTTTTAAAGCTGTTCTGGATACTATCTTTTGCGTGGTCTTACCCTTGCACCCAATTTATTCAATTTGTTCAGTGAAATAATAATTAGATCCATACATGGTGTGCCAGGAATATCGGTTGGTGGTGGGCATATACCGATGACACAGCTTTGATCGCTGAAAGTGAAACACAACTGCAAGAAATGATGGATACAATTGTAACTGAAAGTGAAAACAATGGTCTTAGTTTAAACAGCAGAGGGACGGAAGTATGGGTAATTACAAAGAAAACTTGCCCTTCAAAATGCAACATTAAAGTAAATGGGACCTCAAGCAAGGTGATATGTTTGAGTATCTGTGTATCCTGATTACATCAGATGGAAGGTGTATTACAGAAGTTAAATGTAGAACAGCTCAAGCAAAGGCAGTATTTTACAAAATGAAGAATATTTTTTGCAGTTCTTCTTTGTCAATTGAAAAGAGACAGAGAATCCTTAAAAGCTATATAAATCCTTTCTTGATAAATGGAAGTGAATTATGGACAGTTGGTAAATAAATGAAAACTTATTTGGAAGTTGTGGAAATTTGGTTAAGGAGACAATCTACATTCTTTGGTCGTTTGATGAGAACGAAAAAAAAACTGGAGTACATCATGACAGTAGGAAATTGGAGGGGTTAGGGGAGCGAGAAAACACATGCTGGACAGTTTGACATTACGGCATGGCGGATCATCTGTATCATTAAGAAGAAGACTCTTGCTGTGCTCATTATATTTCTTGAGTATGGCTCTCTTTGGCAGCTGGTATCAGAACCTTCTCGTCAGATGGCCAGACGAACTCAATCTGCCTGTCTTTAATTAACTGTATGACTGGTCTCAGGTGTAGTCTTCTAATTTAGTTCCTGTTTAATTCTCTGTCTGTCTGTCTGTCTGTCTGTCTGTCTGTCTGTCTGTCTGTCTGTCTGTCTGTCTGTCTGTCTGTCTGTCTGTCTGTCTGTCTGTCTGTCTGTCTGTCTGTCTGTCTGTCTGTCTGTCTGTCTGTCTGTCTGTCTGTCTGTCTCCATCCCTTCCCCTCCCTCATTTTTTTCTCTGGTTCCTGGAACATAACTGTGTATTTTAAAAGTATATTGAACAAACTTAAAACAAAACTTACATTCACAAGAAGGTATAGAAGGCGACCATTTACTAGTGTTCAAACAGACCAACTGGCTGATGCCTCCAGACGGACGGTGTCCAAATTCATCGCAACCTATATCAACAATAGTTCCTATACTAGTGTCACTAGTGGACAGAGTCAGGCCTTTACCAACGAGGGATTCACAACCTGCATCAGTCAATGTCCTAAAAGTTGTCTGCGATGTGCCTGTATAAACTAGAACAAGGAACGAGATTAAAGTTTGGTCATGACATAAAACATTGAACAATACAAACGACACAGGTAAGGTTTCTGTTATTACCTGTGCTACATTTTCTAAGTGCCTTCTCCACAAGGGAGGTTGGCTGCAGTACACCCACTCCTGCCTTTGGTAGTATTATTTGATGAGGCCCCAATCTTGTATACAGCGTGACACTAGGAGGCCTGTCTTAAAGCAAAACAAACGGGTTTTCTCTAAACACACGATCCTAGAAATTAACCTTGGTACTTCGAATATTGGATTCGTAAGCGATTCCGCTGCTATCTAAGACTTTTTTTTTTTTTTTCTTCTCTCTTTCTAACCCACAATCGAGCATAGGCCCTCAACCACTTCTCGCCAAGTTGCTCTTTCCTTCGTTAACGCATGCAGCTGTCCCATGACCTTGACATCTTTTTATTTTCGCTCTCCAGCTCCTTTCTGCATGTTTCTTTTTTTTTTTTTTTGGGGGGGGGAGGGGGGGGGGGGGGGGGGGGGGGGAAGGAGGGGGGGTTCTTTTTTCCCCTTACTACACCCATTGTTTTTCTTACATCCTATAAAGTTATAAAATTCAAGGTACCAATTCTGGAGATTTTCCTAGGCAAGAGTAGGTATGTCGACTATCCGGACTGCTTGAGGCTTTCTCCTGAACGTGTCATATTTCTTCCACTACCAGACCCTCATCCTGGTTGGCTGAGCTTTTCTGGTTTCTGTTTTTAAATTTTCTATGGTTAGCTGATTTTTTTGGCTATTGTTCTAACAGGATGAGGTAGCTAACCTAAAGCTCAACCCTACCCTTAATCGCCTCTTAGGACACGCAATGTCACTATTCTTTGCTTCCCTTGAGGGCCCCGGGGACACACAGGCGATTTAAGCCACACGGCAGCACTATTGCTAATAGTCAAGCGTGTCAGACTTAGGTGGCCAGGCAGACAATGGATTACTCTCGAAGTTAATCCGGCCAAGTGAAGGTTAAAGAGGGAGGATCGATTTCATTGCACCAGATTTAATCCTACATAAGTCTCTCTCCACAGAATAGCTAGCCAGTTAAGTGACTGTAGTTTTATTCGTGATTGCAACATTTCTATTCCTACAATGTCCCGATGAACGTTTTCTAGCCCCAACGTTTACTTATCGTTAGTTAGTTAGTTAGTTAGTTAGTTTAGTTAGTTAGTTTTAGTTAGTTAGTTTTAGTTAGTTAGTTTTAGTTAGTTAGTTTTTAGTTAGCTAGTTAGTTGCGTATTCTTTACAGGACGTTGCAGAACCAACCTCAACAGTCCCTGGCTGTTCTGTGGTTTTACTAGGCAAATTTACGTCCAGTAGTTCGGCAATTGCTTACGGACGGCTTCCTTGATACCACTGTGGAAACCAACGCAAGGCGTATGGCCCGCAGCTGGGATCGAACCCGGCATCCCAGCATTACGAAGCGTTCGCATCGATTTAGCCACAGAGCCGACACTTGGCGTTAGCCGTTGTTATAACTTCAAGCTGACTAGTTCGGCTATTCGTTTGGTTTGATATCTGTTTATGATATTGCTAACAGATTCTGTCTATTCTAATTATTTACTTATAGCCCTGGGTAGAATTCACATCGAGGCGGATATATGAAATAGACATCAGCACCAAGTTTGGTACAGTCCTGAAGTGGTTATCTTGAAATGTTCTGGGAAGTAAAGACAGCCGGTGACCTATTAACCACATCACCCATGGCGTGTTATTGGTCTGGAACAGGGCTATTCAACTAAGTTGATTAGGAAGTCATCATTATGATAATGGGGAACGTTACGGGCAGAATCCCGAACAAAAAATATAGAAAAATCATTAATACAGTACAACTGGCAAGGATCCGCGAGCCACTTGCAAGGCTTCTGTGCGCCAGGTTTGATTCGCGGGCGGCCAGTTAAATAGCCTTGGTCTCTGAGGTGCACTGGCAATAAAAGTTGAGTCACTCGTGTTCAGGCATGAGAGCCCAGAGTCCTAACCCTTCGGCCAGCCGCTCTTCATGGAAAAGGCTGAGCCATCCAATAATTTTAAGCTCCCACCCTCCCTCACGCCTATAACATTTGAAGAGGGCTAAGTATTTGGCGAGAGTCGCTGAGGTGTAGCGGCTAGACGCTCGCCTTCGGATGAAAAATTCGGTTCTTGACGAAGGCCGGATTTTTTTCAAAAATGTCCTTGGCTCCCAGGTCGACCCAGCCTCGAGTGGGTGCCAGGTACATCAAGGGAGAGTAAAGGCGACCGGCGTAATGCTGACCACATTACACAGTAAGTGCCATTTGGTCTATAAAATATAGGTCAAACGCTATATACCCAATACACCCGAAGGCATGGAAAAGGGTCATTTACTTTTAGATTTGGGGGGGGGGGCATTCAGTCGCACCCATTTTAAGGGGGGGGGGGTGGGGGGGGGGGGTTTCTAACGTCAGTGGAAGATCTGGAATATGAAGCTAGAGTTATATATTTATAGATCAATCTGCACTTGATAGCAGTCTGCACTTTATGGCAATCTGCACTTGATGGATATCTTGCAATCTGCACTTGATGGCAATCTGCACTTGGTGGAAATATTGCAATCTGCACTTGATGGCAATCTGCACTTGATGGCAATCTTGCAATCTGCACTCGATGGCAAACTGCAGCTTCTGGAAATATTACAATCTGCACTTGATGGCAATCTGCACTTGATGGCAATCTTGCAATTTGCACTTGATGACAATATGTACTTAATTGCAATCTGCACTTGATGACAATCTTATAATCTGCACTTGATGGCAATCTGCACTTGATGGCAATCTGCACTTGATTTGTGTTGTTGTCAACATTACCCGGCGTACATAATTTTAACAACATCCTGCAGTAATTATCGACATACCTTTTGTAGATGATAATGATAAAGTGTATACTACTGCTGCAGCATCTTGTCTCAAAAGCTGAAGTATTTTGGTCATATCAAGCGCCATGGCGGAATTGGAAAAAAATTAATAGCAGAAGGCATAGTACCAGCAAGGAGGGGCAGGGGCCGACCAGCACGAAGATGGGAACATGTGACAATACGCTCGGTGACTCCAGAATGTCTTTCCTCAACCTACTTTTATTTCTTTGTATTTTGAAAGTATACAGGAAAATAGGGATTTGGATACATTCTTTATTTTAAGTAGGCGAAATGAACAAGCATTTAATTCTCCTGGGATGTTGGCGATATCACACACTAAAACTTTTTCCCAGACGTTAAGTGTTAAGGTACAGAGATAAGACTGACCAAGCAGACTTACTGACTGGAGATTTGCACACCATCTGTTGTGGTGTCAGAAATTTTATCTCCTAGCCAGACTTTTAGGAGCAGCTAACTCCGGCTAATTGTGTTTAATTCCCCCTGAGGTTACCTAACTCGACGGCAGGTCCGACGGTCACTATTGACATGGTGAGCAGAAAGTGTTAAACAGAAGGATTGACACCGTCTGATTTTATTGTGAAGGCAGGTGAAGTAGGCCGGAGGTGTGGACTTGTCCTATTTGCTCTGTCAGATGAATTGACCAGGAGATCCTAGCGTGGGAATTTAAACAATTGTTGTACAG